GTTAAAAACGCGATTTTGGTACCTCTTAGGGTGTTCGGCCTAAAAAGGTCCACAGCGGGAGCTTTCGCGGTAGCTTTTAGGGTATCGAACTGAAAAATATGACAGGAGATAATGTGTTATTTTAGAATTGGGACCTTTGAGGGAAACAAAATTCAAGCTACACCCACAAAACAGGATCTTGGTACCTTTAACGGATTCTTCTCAAACTTTCTAACGAGCACCCGTATCCTTTTGGATGGGAGTCCCCCCGAGTCGGAAAGATCGGAATGCAAAACATAAGCAGTGAAAAACCTTTTTATATAAGAAAAATTTATACTTTGGATAACTTTTAATCCTGGGTTAGCGTTATCCGGTTTCCAAACAACCCGGCCCTGATTACAAGTTAACCTGACATGAGCCCGCGATCCAACCGAAACCCAATACTTGGTCAGCGATCAACAATATGTGTATTTTTTCCAGTTGACTGCTGACCAGGTACTAGTTTTCGATTGGATCGCAGGCTCAAGCCAGGTTATTATTTTGGGGGTGAAGGAGGGAGTACGTACAAAGGCAAAATCAAGCCGCAAGTTAACCCCTGGCGCGTTGTTGACTTTCCTTCCGACATCTTCCTTCCACAATTATCTCTGGGAAAGTCCTCGAAGACTATTGAAAAGCTTATGTAAAATGCTTCGCATAGTGCATAAAAAAACTGTATCGAGACACCTTAATCTTTCAGGATCAGTCTGAAACTAAGGGCGTTTACAAAACCGCACCAGAGGATTGCGTAAGAAGCTAATGTAAAAGTATGTAATTTCCTAGACAAAAAAAAAATGGATAAGCAGCGATCGCGAGATACCAAGGGGAATTTCCATACACTGATATATGAATTTTCAATTGTTTCTACAAGGGTTTTATTCTTTCAGTTTACTGTACCTTGTAACTTTTTTTCGACAGCGTTTAATCTTCTTGTCAGCTCTCTGTTCTCCTTCTTAAGGTTAGATATACCTTTTCATATAAGAAAAATTTATACTTTAGTTAACTTTTAATCCTGGGTTAGCGTTAACAGGCTTCCAAACAACCCGGCCCTGGCTACAAGTTAACCTGACATGAGCCCGCGATCCAATCGAAACCCAATACTTGGTCAGCGGTCAACAATATGTGTATTTTTCAAGTTGACCGCTGATCACGTACTGGGTTTTAGATTGGATCGCAGGCTCAAGCCAGGTTATTACTTTGAGGAAGAAGGAGGGAGTACGTACAAAGGCAAAATTCAGGCGCAAATTAACCCCTGGTGCGTTGTTGACTTTCCTTCCGACATCTTCCTTCCACAATTATCTCTGGGAAAGTCCTCGAAGACTACTGAAAAGCTTATGTAAAATGCTTCGTATGGTGCATAAAAAAAACTGTATCGAGACACCTTAATCTTTTAGGATAAGTCTGAAACTAAGGACGTTTACAAAACCGCACCAGAGGATTGCGTACGAAGCTAATGTACGAAATACTAAGGGGAATTACATACACAGATAAATGAATTTTTAATTGTTTCTACAAGGGTTTTATTCTTTCAGTTTACTGTACCTTGTAACTCATTTTCGACAGCGTTTAATCTTCTTGTCAGCTCTCTGTTCTCCTTCTCAAGGTTAGATATCCTCTTCAAATAATCTAATATTTTTAACCGAGAAGATAAAAACAGCTAAGCTTAAGTCAATTAACAAGGAGGTTCTAGAGTTTGGTCTCCTTCCTTGTTGCCATTTAAACTTTACTTAGGTTTATCACTTCATTAAATGTTACTTTCTTCGATTCTTTCGGCAGTTCATAACCACAGAAAATAAGTCGTTCACATGAGGTTAAGCAGCGGATTTTAGAAATGGAATACATACTGTTTCGTTTCGGAGGGAATAACTTCAGTTTTCAAAGGAAATTTCGCAG